TCGAGATTGAGCGTCCACTGTTTCTTCTTGATCCTGAACCGCGCTGTTTGGTGCGCCGTATTTCTGGTTAGCATGGTTCGCTGACGCGGTGGGAAACAAGCCTTACCAGAAGCAGCGGTGTTTCGTCTTCGCTTGTCCTCCGCGACTACTACCGGGTCCTCCCCAGGACCGTCTGCCTGCTGTGGTGGAGATGGCGCGCCTGCCGAGGACGCAGGGGATGCTGCAGCTGTCTGGTTGCGTTCCGGAGAGGAGGAGAACGGGTTTGAGGGGGCCTCCCATGGAGTATGAGGTTGGGATGAAGGAGGCCGGTGCGTTTGTGCATGGGAGTGTTGTGACTGAGAGTCAGCTTGCGGCTGTTGCGGGAACGGCATATGGTGAGTGGGGTGCTGCATCGGCTGGCCGTACTGATTAGTCTGCTGCATCTGGTACATCATCTGCAGCCAGGGTAGCGCGGCGAGGAATGCCTGCGTTGGGTTGCCCTGTGTCGGCATGCCTGGCATGCTGGGTACGTTGGACATGTTAGGCACGCTCGGCATGCTGGACATGCTCGGTTGGGTGGGCATGTTGGGCATCGAGGGCGGGGGCGTCGGCATCGAATGGGAGGACGCGGGGTTATACGGCGACTGTTGCTGGAACGCTGCTGCTGCTCGTTGGAACGCGGCCTCGTCGTAGCCTTGCGCGGAAGACGACGTGGAAGGCTGTTGGTCGAGTGGGTTATATGAGGAGAGGAAGTCGAAGTCAAACGGATCTGCAAAATGGGCGTCGGGTGCCGCGGCGGTAGCACCCATCAACGGGGTCCTCTCAGTTGGTCTGAAGCCGGCGTGCGCAAATGACGGGCCTGGCTGGCTGATAGACCGCACCCTGCGTCGTTCCGCAGCGCTGTTGTTTCCCTGTGGGTCCTGTGTCGGCGTACGTCTGCGATCCATGGGTGAAAGCAAGCTCGGGGGGTCTTGAATGCGCTCCTTGGTTGCTCCTATGCATACATTTGCAAGCCTGTCCTTCGATAGCGACATACCTCATCATTATCCTGTAGTACTTCCTATTTCAATTATAACAACGTGGACTTCGGCCCCAGCGCCAGCAACGGCGGCCAGGAAGGCTCCGCCGGGTGTGCGCAATGCGCGCACACGATTGCGCCAGAGTGAGCGCGCCCGGATCAAGTCACATGTTCACGACGCGTCTTGAGAGATTATGTAAGCCAGGCGTGACGTAACGCGTATGCATCTTCTGCGCGACGCGTAAGTCGTTGGACGCTCATCGCTTCTCTGCGCTTGCCGTCACCATCCAACCCATTCTCGACCATGGTATGCGCAGGATTGCGTCGTTCAACAAATGAAAGGCCTGACCCTCATACAGTTGATTAGAATACGATCTAGGGATGGTAACTTTCGTTTCGATTTTGTGCCAACAGCCGACATCTCGGAGCTAGTGGCCAAGGTACGCCATTTACCGAGGCATCTCAGTGTAGATCCATCTCACATGCGCTTAAGATTCTCGAGACTACAACCAATGCTGATCCCTCCACTCTTGCAATCTCGAACCGGCCGAGGGGGAATGAGACCCTAGTGTCGACGATCAAAGGGAACTTGCAATCTCTAGGACTATCGTGCGTGATTTCGTTAGTGCTGCTTCAGGGGCTGTTCGCCATACGCTATATGGTCATGGGCTATATTGCTCATTTGCCTCTGCGCGTGCGTATGCGGGCCAGCTGATGGACTGTTCAGCTCAGCGGGCCAGAAACATGTGCCCGGCAACTCTAGCTAATGATCGCTTGCGACACCTCCTCGCAGTCACGTACCCGAGTTGTGGTCCATCGAGCTGACTTATCTGGAGCAGTACTCGTCTGTTCATTCGACTGATACGTTTGCTCCATCAGGCACGGCGAACTCGTCTTCGTGTCGTACAAGTCACGAGAAGACAACATCCCCGAAGCAGCACCAGCCGCAGGAACATCCCAAGTCACTCAAACCGGTGGCGTCACAGCAAAAAGCCCCTGGGAACTCGTACAAGAAGATCCGGTGGATACGTACTGGCGGACAAGGGATGGCAAGATACCGCGCGGCCGTGATTCACGGTTCTGCAAACACGGTGCAGCGGGCATGTGCGAGTACTGCATGCCTGTTGAGCCGTACGACGCCGCATACCACGCAGAACACAACATCAAACACCTCTCCTATCACGCATACCTCCGCAAGTTGACACCAAAGGCCTCCGCGGCAACATCTTCAACTGCTCTTCTGCCCCCGCTCTCTCAGTTGTCATACAAGGTCAAGATTCCGTGCCCAAGCGGAAGCCATGCATCATGGCCTGCATCTATCTGTACAGCGTGCCAGCCATCCGCAATCACGCTGCAGAGTCAGTCCTTCCGGATGATCGATCACCTAGAGATCGCTTCGACGGACGTCATTGATCGGTTCCTACACGCATGGCGGTTGACGGGTACACAGCGGTTCGGGTGGCTCATCGGGCACTACGAGCCGTATGAAGAGGTCCCAATGGGTGTGAAGGCGGTGGTAGAGGCGATCCACGAACCCCCGCAAGAGGGCGAACTAGACGGGTTGTCGCTCGGACAGCCGTGGGAGGACGAGCAACGGATCAAGGACCTCGCGCGGTCGGCATCGACACCCTTGCAGATCGTAGGCTACATCTTCACCGATCTCGAGCCACAAGAGGAGAACCGAGCACTGACGAGATACAAGCGGCATCCGCAGTCGTTCTACCTCTCCTCCTTGGAAGCGATCTTCGCCGCGCATGTACAAAATGCCAATCCGACGCCGTCGAAATCGTCCACAACAGGCCTGTATGGCTCGCGCATGGTCACGGCCGTGCTCACGGGCACAGCGGATGGTGGAATCGATGTGTCGGCGTACCAGGTGTCAGAACAGGCCTGCGCTATGGTAGAGGCGGACATGATCGAGGCAAGCGTAGATCCGGGGATCGTGCGAGTGAAGGAGGAAGATCGGGACGAGAACTCGGAGCGCTACGTGCCCGACGTATTCTTCAGATATAAGAACGAGTACGGCCTGGACGTGCAGAAAAGCGCGAAGCCGTGCTTCCCCGTGGAATACCTCCTCGTGAATGTAAGCCGTCTCATGTTGCGTATTCACACCAGCGTGCTCATATTTGCGCGTAGGTCTCGAACGGTTTTCCACAAAATCCGTCACCAGTGTTCCGCTCGGCATCGTACCCCATCGAGAACCGTCCGGGTCTGGAGGACCAGCATATCGAGAAGGTCCTCCGGAAGCTTGCAGAACTGCATGCGCCCGACATAACGGAGAGCTCACAGGGCGGCAACCAGTCGCAGCGCGTTGCACTTGCGCAGTGGTTGAGCGACTGGCATCTGATTGCCTTCCTCGGGACGACGCAACTCATGTCTCCCGTATGTACGACCCCGCCGGAATGTGCCGTCCGCTGACCCGAACATTCGCAGGATGACATGAAAGTGCTCTTACGGACGGCAACTTCGCCGAACCTAGACGACCCCGCATTGCTCGACGCCCTCATCCGAACGGAAGGCTGGCAAACGCTCATGACCTTTACACGAGAGACAATCCGTAAGCGTTTGAACGATCGTACACATTACCAGTCTATTCACGCCGTTTGACAGCTGCACGCCCCGCAGCATCGGCCCCCTCGGGCTCAACGCACGCGCCTATGGATGAGGACATCCCACCGGACGTGTTCGACCAGATCGCCCGGGAAGCAGGTGGGCAGGGCGACGGTTTTGCGGCGGGTGGAGCGAACGAGCGCGTCTGCCCACATTGCACATTCGTCAACGCGCACGGGGGGAGCGACTGTGAGATTTGCGGGCTGCCACTGCAGGGTTAAGAAATGGAATGACGGACAGACGAAGACACTGATTATGTACGCTAGGAGGAGCGCATAGCTAGACGACGAAACAGAATATTCCGGACATGACTGCACAACGGCAGTACCTACATAGCCTTGAGATTGATTGACCACGAGAAAACCGGCTTTGACGAATCACAGTGCACTCGTCTCACGTTCCTCCCTCTGGTCTTGCCAGCTCGTGCAAAACGCACATCTCCTCGCCTGTTTGATGCGGACGTCAGTGGCTACCTAACCATATGGACATCACGACGATATTGACCTTGGCAGAGATTTCTTTCCGGCAAGCGTAGCAGCGCACGGTGTGCTTGATGATCGAATCTTTGGACACGAACGAATAAAATTGCGCGATTGCGTAGAGTACGGTGCCCAGGCCGATGAAGGTGACCAGATGGTCCAGGAACATTCTGCAAGCAACGTACTAAGGTCGAGTGACAGGCCTGATCATGCAAAGGTGGACGCGAACCCATAGTTCATTGTCACCGCGCCATCCTCCTGCGCTTGTTGCAGGGTGTTGTAGTGTGTGCCATTTTCTCCGCGCTGCAGGACCACGAACTTCTGTGGCAGGTTGCGGTGCGACATGAATGGCAGGAGCGAGATCGGCGGGAGCAGGAGGTCGGACACGAAGGAATTGACGAGAGTCGTGAACGCAGATGCGATCATGAGACCGACTGCGACCTCGAGAACATTGTCACGCAACGCGAAATCTAGGGGGAAGTGTAGGTCAACACGGCGGCCCTCCTAGTAGCTGACTGCAAGAACAAACCTGTGAAACCTGCCCACGCAGATTTGAGGCGGTTAGCCACGACCTGCTCGCCACGCAGGAGGTGTTGTTGGGAGCTATCCCATGTCTGATCGTTCTCCATGCTTGATGCGATGGTCCTAGCACAGTGTTAGTATTCAGTAGTAGTGCGGGTTGTGGTACAAGTCAGAGCCTTCACTGGCAGCTCAGGCGCGACGCGCGACGTGCACTGACGTCACATCATGGGGTCGCGGTAGCTGGGCGCCTCTGTCACAGAGCCCCCCTCCGCCTCTCCGAGAGTGACTTATCGACTGAATGCATTGACGAGAATCCTCATGATCAGGCTGGGACTGTCAGGAGTACTTACATACTTTCCTTCTGCCTTGAACTGAAGCAAAAAGTCAACAAAAGGCCTAAGCAGGAGTCGAACCTACGTCTACGGAACAATGCTGCTAATACATCAGAATCCGCCGTGATAACCACTACACTATAAGGCCTATGATTAGTTTTCCCTCAGTGGACAGTTCTATAGCTCATTACTACGCGCCTGAGCAGCTCACTCAGAGTCACTGGCACTTTGTGAGGTTCAGCTGCAAAACTATTTCAGCTCGCGAGGCGTTGGCAAGCAGTACTATTAGACTCGTCCAATCTCTTTCAGCACACATCAACATGCAAAGCACCGCACAGCGACTAGTTCCTTGAGTATTCAATGAATATTCATATACTACTATGCTTGTGTTAGCCACTCAGGAATGGGTTGCAAGCCCCAATCCCTAAGCCATGTCTCGAATAGCCCAGCAATCTTCTGGTGTCCCTCGACATCCGGATGTATGTTTCTGTAACCAAGGACTCGTGGGTCAGATTGCCAACAACATAGGCTAAATGAATCGCATACCCGGGAAAGACGTCAGAATAGTCAACCCAGCCGGTCGTGTTGACGAGGAAGACCTGCTCATCGCCAAGGGCGTGCCGGGCAGTGACGACGTCGGTGTAAGCATTTGGATAGTAGTATGTGTTTGGACCGTCCGGCTGCGGCCATCCCCACGGTGTGAACACAAAGATCGGCTGGGTAGCATACATGGTACGGATGCGCTCCACGAAGCCCAGGTACGTTTGCGTAAAGCTCGCCTCGGACACATTCCAAGACGCGTCATTCGCACTGCAATTTCAATGAGAGGGGGGGAATCAGTCCGCTCTGTGCAAAGCGACGCACCCGATGTGAATGACGAAGTGGGTCGGCGGCGGCTGGTCGCGCAAGAAATTCCACGGTGTCGTATAATTGTGCTGGGGCGTGTAATAATAGCCAGTGTCCTCCGTTCGGAAATACTGGAAGGACACGCCGTGGACGTTCCCATACGACTCCATGTCGGTAAGTGCTGCCCCGGGCTGCGCGTTAATGCGATGCTCGGCTTTGAACGATTCAGCCGTCATGAAGTTCCACGCCTGGTCGACGCCCATTGGGAGGTACTGGCCTGCGGATAGCGAGTCGCCGATGAACTGGAACATGAGAGGCTGAGGCACGTATGGCAGCAGCTCCGCGTCCTTGCAATGCACGCGGCGCGGTTAGTGGGGGGTAGAGTCATCGAAGACACGGCTTACCGAGTTGAGCTGGACAGACTCCAGATTCATGCGGTTGTCCTGCCATTCCTCTACATTGATCCGTACTACCGACGACGACGGGTCAGCTCCGGTAACGTTGATCTCATTCACTCCCTCCGAAACGTTGACAGTGACAAAGGGCTGGTAGTCCACAGATACCCCTAGGGAGGCTAGCGGCGAGGTAGTGTTCGGTCCCAGGGTGAGAGACAGAGACTTCAAGTTGGAAACGTGCAATTTGAAGCCCGACGAAGCCCTGCAAAGCAGGCGAATGAAGAGGCGAAGATATGATACAAGGGGTAGACGCACCACCAAGTCGCTGGCGCAGTATCCCACCGCCCGTGGTAGTAAATAAGCGGGTCCGTGTAAGGGACAGTCACCGCGGATGCTGTTGAAGTCGCATCATTGACCGGAACGGCCTTCCCACTGCTGGCAATGAGTAGACCGAGTGCAGCGACAACGAAACTAAGATGCATGGCGTGCAGGGCTAGCTAGTTTTGTCGCACCCATCGCGCATTTATGCTGTTCCGGATGCGCACCGAGGACAACACAGTGGGAATCGGCATCGAGTGTGATACCAGGACCCCCGAGAATAGGTGGGGAACCCTGATCGCACTCGTCCAAAATCCGGCAAATTTGTCTGGTCGCCCAGTGGCCTATTTTGTCTGGATTCCGATCCGGCTCCAGGCCGGATCGCGGATTTGTCTGGATTCCTTATCCGGCATCCAAAATCGCAAAATTTGTCTGGATTAGTGTATCCGGCTTCAAAAAACGCGCATTTTGTCTGGTTTAATGTATCTGGCCGCGTTTCGAGGCTGAATCATCGACCAAAACTCTTTAGAACTAGCCAGGACACTACTAAACACAATGGTGAGTCAGACGAGTCCACCGAATCGAAGAACATTGCTCGTATGCATCATTCGTCCGACTCGCCATCTTCGTCCTTGCTTTTCTTCCTGCGCGCCTTGCGAAGAGACACTACTAAACAGTGAGGATGGCTAGTATGGTGATGTCGAGCGAGGACTGCACAACAAGGAACTTCGTCAGCGCGGAAGTTAGGACTGACTGTACCGAGTGATAGTACAGCAGGCTCATAGCTACTTAACTGATGTAGAAGGGTTCATCGCCACCGGAAGCGCGCAAGTTCGATCCCTGGTCAGACACCAACCCTAACCCCCCCATACTTATTTGTCCGGACCGGTATCAGACTTCCCCGACCTCCCGGGCAAAATGTCTGGACAAAAAATCCGGCCTCACCGCAAATCTCCAGGATTTGTCTGGATTTCGATCCGGCTGTGGGAGGTCCAATCACCCAAATTTTGTCTGGATTGCGATCAGGGTCCCCCACCTATTCTCGGGGGTCCTGTGATACCTTCCGAACATTTGCCGCTGAACCGTAATATCTCCGTGACGAGGCCTGCTGACCGGAAATGTCGTTGTGCATAATCATGCACCGGCTGCTTGGCAAGTTACTGTTCGACAGGACGTGATGTCGGTTCGTCGAACGAGCACGGGAAGAGGCACTGTGGCCCGTGGGCTATATATGTATACTTGGTACCACCAATCGAGCGAGACTTACCATCCGAGTCATTGCCGCGGCTAGGATTCGACCAAAGCGGGTGGATTGTAGGGTGGACAGCTGCATCCCGAATCCAAGGGACCCTTCGTTTCCTGAGCTTCCTCATGTTGAGTCCAAGATACTTTGAGAGTCCATCGGACCTCGCGCGACGAAAAGCACTAGCACGGTTGTACGGTACTTGTCTGTATCGATATCACTTCGGAGTCGTCCGCCTGTTGTTCATCACTTCGACGGCCCTTACACAGGCTAACCCAATGGATAAATAAGTGGACGAGCGGGACCCAAGCCCAGTGTAACGAGCATTGCCAAGGTAGGGGGATACAATATAAGGGTGAGGGGAGATCATGAGCGACAACTGTCAGTTGAGTGTCGACGCGTCAGTGTCAAGTTGCACAGTGACAATGCGGCACTGCGCCGGCCCGGGTCCGTCCGGTGCCACCCACCAGTCAACTCGTGACGCGTGACGCGTGACGGTTCGTCCAATTCGCGAGTCTGAGTCACCGACTGCTGCTACCATGGCACGGCCAGACTCAGAACTTGCATGATCTTGACTTTGAAACTGATGACTCTCGCTCTGTCGTGGCTTGGGTCTCCCAAGCACAACTTGGTTTCTGCAGACCTTGGATACCTGGGTCCCATACCCCGTTCCGGTTGAGGGCACACCGGTAGTACTACCACACAGGCCCGTATCTGTTGACCAAGCCATTGATGTGAATGTGCTTGTTTACTTCAACGTTCAACCTTGAAGATGCGCACAACGATTTGTTCATAGTCATCAGCGAGTCAGTCCCAAGGAGCCGGTTGACCGTAGATGTACAAGGTGGGTACCATCATGGTTATATGGCATCGATATCCTGTGACATTACATATGCTGAATTGAAGGCCATCTTCGCATCAGAAGACAGAAGCTGTGGTGACAATGTCCCCAGGGCCGCTGGCCACGGACTTCCTACTCGGACTCCGGCGTAGAATAATCTGAGTAGCCCCACTGTGCATTCCAGCCGCAGTGCAACTGGGCGCGCGTCCTAGTTGCCTTTCGCAGCGATTCAGCTTGCGAACTCGGCCGCAGGCGCGCACACCGCCTGTATCACCGAGCCACGCTCCGCTCATATGTATCGAGTCAGTACGTGTCGATGCCACGAGTCGCTACGCCAGCGCCCTGAAGGCCCTTGCTACTCTCGGCCTCCTCGCAGTGTCTCGCGCACTGCATGCCAGTGCCCGCAGGCTGTGCCGCGTGCGCAAGGGTGGCATACCCTACCGGGCTTTTCGGGTTATTCAGTAAGTCATCCTTGGTGTTGTTTGTACTGATTGACCCATCGCTCACTTCTGCGTATAGGGTCTCATCACTAAGCTCACTTCGATACACACGGTAAGGTAGGCTACGTATGTGCGTAATATGCTTCCAGTACCAATGCTTCGGGTTCCTCATGCCTCCAGACCGCCGGAAGCACTGGAGCTCCTGGGATTGAATCATATCCAATGTCGAGACAAGCAGGCACGTGTCGGCGGTGCCGTCAGAAGCTCCCGCGCCGCACCGCCCATAGAAACGCTACAGTGTACTGGCACTCCTTTTCACACCTGAACGAATCGGCTTGATCTCTCTACAAGCCTCTAGGAAGTGGCCAATGTAATTTGGTACTATGCATGAGAACTGGTTCTACTAGCTAGCCTGGTAGTACGATTGGCTCTCGACTTCGCGCGTTCCGTGGTGTCCTCAAATTTGTTTGTTGGGCATAATTGTGGCGCAGACCACTCCTTTTCACGCGTAACTGCGAGTGATGATTGGTGACATGTGTGACGAAATGTCAGACGCGTGATCCCCAGTGTCCCATTATTGCAGCTTCGTCGCGCAGCACGCATCGACTGGAGCGCGTCGGTGGCTCAGCCTGAAGCAGGACTCTGGGGAACATGATTGAACACTGAGAACACACATATATTGTAGCTATGGGTGCATTGTTGAGCTATGTAAGTAGTAAAGTAAGAAATGACCGGGCGATCAGTCATCGTCTGAGCTGGCATCGCTGCTGCTGCCGTCAACGTCCTTGCACTCACTGTTTGTGGCTTCTGCAAAGCTGGAGCACTGCTACCATCCTGCGCAGATCCCCCGATTCCAATCGTACCCGAGGCCTTTGGCTTCCGAGGACAAACAGACTTTTGCGGAAGGTCCTTTTTCAGCGACCCGCTACTAGCCGCCGCTGGATCGTGATATTGCACGAGAGCGAGGGCAGCAGTATTCGGGAATCACTCCGCACCTTCTTGCTGTCCCAGACAATGATGTCGGGCAACCTCGCACTCAACCATGGTCCACCGCCACTTGCGGAT